CCCCCCCGCAAGAATTTCATGCACCGGGCCTCTAGTACTTAAATATTATTAAATATACAATTAAAAAAAAAGTGTCCCTAGTACTCGTTAAATAAATGGTGGCTCACAGATTAGGTAGAATATGATACAACTATTAAAGAATTGAAAGCGGCATATTGCTGCTCAAAACTTTGTGGGTTAAAATAATGATTCACATCTCACAGTTTTGAGGGTCGACTGGGCAGTTCTTTACATGGTGTTCGTCAGGGAACCTGGACAGCTCTAGTCATTCAGAGCCGGGCTGGCAAATTTTTTTGTATGAAGACAGATAGTAAGTAATTTACTTTGTAGGCCACATAAGTCACTGTCAGATTTTCTTTGTTCTGGTTGTTTTATGACTGAAAATATGAAATACCCTTCGCTCACAAGTTGTCCATAGGCTGGCCATGGCTGCGATTTGCCGACCCCTGAGAGAGAGGCTCCACTAAGGACTCGGCTGGGAGCCTCTTTTCTCCATGTGGGCTCTCCACATAGCTGCTTGGGCGGCCTCATGACACAGCACCTGGATTCAAAGAGGAAACCTTGTAAGAGGATAAGCCCTAGCGCTTATTAGCAAACCTCCATTTGTATCATGCTTGCTCATGTCCCATAGGTCTACATGTCACATGGCCAAGCCCAGAATCAGTGAGAGGGGACTACACAAGGGCACAGATGCCGGGAGGGATGATTCATTGGGGGAGCCACGGAAGTGTCATATCACATGAGCTGACATGAAGTTAGTTCTAAGACCATATATATTATATGGAATAAAGCAATGAAGAATATGTATTGTAGAATAATCCTATTTGTTTAAGAATGGTAAACACATCACATATATTGCATATGACTATAGACCAGGAGTGGGCAAACTTTTTGACTCGAGGGCCACAATGGGTTCTTAAACTGGACCGGAGGGCTGGAACAAAAGCATGGATGGAGTGTTTGTGTGAACTAATATAAATTCAAAGTAAACATCATTACATAAAAGGGTACTGTCTTTTTTTTTTTAGTTTTATTCATTTCAAACGGGCCGGATCCGGCCCGCGGGCCGTAGTTTGCCCACAGCTGCTATAGACATTGCTATACTTACATATGTCAATTTGTAGAAGGATACACAGTTAATAATGGTAACGTTTGGGATTAGCACAGGTAAATTGTGGTGAGAGAGGGGAAAACCTTATTCCTCCTTCAGATACCCTTCTCTACTGCCTGGGTCTTTCTCATCATGATGATGTAGTACTTCTATAACTTCAAAAGAAAAAAGGTACATTTTTAAAATTTGGGTTAAGAGATAAAGTTTTAAAAGTAATAACAAAATTGACTAGGTAGAAGCATACCCTCATAATTTGGAGTCATTCTTTATAGATCAGAATTAATGTAAGTATATTACTTCATTTAAGAGAGATTTCCCAAACTTTGTATTTGCATGAGGTTTTGGTGGTGAGTGAATGAGGGCTACACAGTAGCAATGGCCTGGCTTACTTTGGAATCAGGGAGACTTTGGTTTGAAAGCTAGTCCACCACTGGCTAGTTCTTTTTATTATGGACAAGTTAACTTCTATATATATATGTGTGTGTGTGTGTGTGTGTGAAGATTAAATAATTCAATATTTTTGTGACAGTGTTTAGTCTAATACCGGACATATGTAGGTGTTTAAAAAGATGTGTGTGGTTTCATTTGTTTGGGGTCTAAAAATGAAGATTGGTATGTCTAAACAGTTAAAGATTTAAAGGGCAAATATGTGTGGTCTTTGTCTGAGTATTTTATTTAAAAAATACTTTTCTTTGTATTTTCCTTTCTACTTTGGTATTTATTCTTTAACCTAAGCACCAAGTAAATAAAAATAGAAATCAATGAAGGTTAACTGAATATGAAAACCAGGATGCCTCTGATGAAAAGAAACTTCAGTTTTAAAAGTAAATTTATATGTACTTGGACTTGTTAGATTAACACCTGCTTATAAAATATATAAAAGTGGTGTTTTAGTGACTGTAATGTTAAATAATTTCTGGTTGACTGTGTTACGTAATTGTGGCTAATCCTTTCTCTGTTTCAGAGGCGAATCTCTAGATAACCTGGAGTCCCCAAGGTCCAGTTCTTGGAGACAGTCCCCTTGGCTCAGTCAGTCCACAGGGGTCTATGCTTCTTCCTCTGTCCAAGACTTCAGCCGCCCACCCCCTCAGCTGGTGTCCACGTCCAACCGTGCCTACATGCGAAACCCGTCCTCCAGCGTCCCCCCTCCTGCAGCGGGGCCCGTGAAGACCAGCCCCGCACCGTCGCCCACTCCACGCAGCCATTTCCCTTCAACTTCCCCATCCCAGCCACGCAACAGGTGAGGCCCTTTGGGTTTCTCCTTGTCTTAATTTCAGGGGTATTTTTTCATTAAAATTCCCTCCAAATCTTGTCCAAGCTTCCCAAAGAAAGCCATGCCTTTTTGAATGTATCAAGTTCAGTGTTCTTTTGTCAGATCAGTTCAAAGGGCTCTCTTCATAGCTTTCTAAGAGCATTTGTGGATGTCTCCCGAAGCCCTTGGTGACCTCTCAAATACCAGCATCATTGCCGCTGTCTCATTGGCCAGTGCTGTGGTCAGTGACTTGGGTACAGATGTACCTGGATCATTCTCAATATGCAATCATACAGATACACAGTAGCCTAAGAATGCATTTGAAATTTATGAGCAAAAGCAATCGTGTGAAAGGGTTGACTGCTTTAATGAGACAATACAAACTCATTTATAGAAACTGAGTGTAAAAGGAAAGCATTGTAACCAAGCTCCATTGTCTATGGAACTTTTAAGCAGTTAGATACTGTTTTTTTTTTTGTTTGTTTTGGTTCTTGATTTTCAAAAGTATTGCCTGCCTCTTACTGGTTTGCCAACATTTTGTTCAGATGACAGCAACTGATTCTGTGGATCATATGCCATGGGAACTGTGGAAGAGTTAAACCATAGGTCTTGAATAAAAACTTGCCTTTTGCTATGGAGGAAAGCTCAGATAGCAGCAGGCATTGGGTGTTTAGATCTGAGTAGCTTCTCCACTGATCAATGAGGCTTCATGAAGCCGCACACAGCAGTGTTTCTAGTGTTACCCAAAGGTAGTGCTACTAGCATATACTGCTTCTCATGCAAATGAAATACTGAAAAGTAGAAACACAATGATTGATATTGGGATTTTTTTTACCCATTAAATACAGGGTTTTTCTTAAGAGAATATATTTTTTAGATCCATCTAAAAATGTTGCTTGTACCAGGATCTATAAAATGTGTCAGGGAGTTTGAGTTGAGAGAAGGTGGGGTGAGAATTTATGGTCAATTATAAAGGAAGATGAAGGCCATGTGTGGGGGAGACAGTACCCATTTCCTGAGAGCCCCCCCTGGGAGAACACACAGGAGACAGGCCAGGGCTTTTCTGCCTGAAAAGGCCTCTGTCTGGGAGGTGGTGCTCTGACATGAGGCACTCCACAGCTGTGCACTTTTCAGTGCCACTGAAGTGCTAGGCTAGTACTGTGGTATCCAGAGGTAAGAAGTGGCCTACCCCTTCCCACCTTGGAGAGAAGGTGAGACTTGTATCCAAAGGGAGGTAGAAACTCTCCTTACTTATCTAACTGGTAGCTGACAGGCATTTTCTATTTCATTCTCCCCAGAGGCAGTCCTCAAGCCAGAGGCACAGTAAGGAAAGCAGCTACTTCTGTTTAAATGAACTATTGGGCGAATGAGAAAGAGGATGGGAAACTAAGGTTGGGAGGGTAGCTTACAAGGCCTTTTGGAAGAAGTGGTGGGGCTGCTCTTTTGGTATTCTGATGGGAGAGATAACATGATTAGACTTGTGCTTTGGAAGAGGGGAAACTACTGCTGAATACAAATTGATCTAAGGAGGATAGCGGCTCAAAATGCAAAGTGGACTAATTACACCAAAATTGTTCATTTATTGAATAGGCATCAAGGATTTCTGAACCATCGCAGAGATCCTTCAAGGTATAATATAATCAGGGCACATTTTGATTGGCTGGTGAAACTTTTCCTCCCACAGATTAGAGACTTTCCTAAATTGTTAATGTTAACACCCGAGTGTGATTGTAAAATAATAACCTTGAGCTGCACAGATGAAAGCCTCCATTCCACTCTCGTTCTGCATCTAGGTCAGTCAGTGGGAAGCGCGTGTGCTCCTACTGTCATAACATTCTGGGCAAAGGAGCTGCCATGATCATCGAATCCCTGGGTCTTTGTTATCATTTATATTGTTTTAAGGTGAGATTAAGATAAACAGCCGCTGCTGCCCTGCAAAGCTTTGCTTGGAGAGCGCATGGCTGCTTTGCGCGCTGGGGGTGGACGTGCCGTTAGCGAGCTAGGTGCTGCTGTATTTGTCGGTCTGTGCTGCATTTGGAATCTCAAATGGCTTGCTACTACTTAGTTCTCAAATCCTGAACCTGGCTTCAAAAGTTGTAGAAATGCTCTGCACTTCCCATCTCCAATCTGTTAAGATTCCATTAGTAAAATTTACAGTGCATACATGCTTTCTCTGTCATGCGGTCCTAGGCATATTTGAAATGTAATTTAATAATCTCATTAACAGCATGGGGATGGGACGTGCAATTATAAAAGTATCTAAAAGCCTAGCTTTGACTAAGGAAAAGCATGGGAAATATTTTTACAGTTGCACAGCTGCTTGCACTTGATGGTTGCTTACACATGAGAAAGAACTAAGGCTGTAATGACTTTATTTTGCGGTAACTGTCTTTAGAGACACATCTATTTGATTCTTGAACTTGTGTTGGGCCATAGAGTGATTCCGATTGTTGATCCCAGAGTCCCACGGACCACAGCTTGTTTAAGCTTGTATATTGCTGGCGTGGGCTGTTTCTAGGGAAAGCAGAGTGAGTCACAATGATTAGTGTTGGAGCACTTGGAACCAAAATGCCCAGCCTTGAGGTACGAACACTTGCCAGGCTGGTGCAGTGGGAGCCCTGGGCGAGTCCCACCCCAGAGCGGAGTGCCAGACCCCCAGCACCCATTCACTCCCGCGGTTCTTTCATGTGGTGCTTTATCCTCTCTCATTCCCCAGTGGGAAGAGAAGACTCGCTTTCTTTAAGCCAGTCAATGAATTGTTTTCGCTCTTTTGGTATATTTAGAATGATCATCTTGGCTCTTAAAATTGGCTTTATGAATTCTTTAATGACTCACCTAGCAGGCTTGATTTTAATCTAATTATCTTTTGGCTTTTTTTCCCTGAAATATATCTAAGAGCTTATTAGCTGCATTTTGCGCAGTTGTTTTTTCCAGGAGCGCCCCAACCTTTCTTGAGCTCATCGCATGTGCATTTTTTTTTTGTTCTCAGTGTGTTGCCTGTGAGTGTGACCTCGGAGGCTCTTCCTCAGGAGCCGAAGTCAGAATCCGAAACAACCAACTCTACTGCAACAACTGCTATCTCCGACTCAAATGTAAGAGAGCAAATCAGGGAGAAAATTTCTAATCTTTTAAAGAAACCGCGCGTTCCCATGCATTTCCCTGAACCTGCGCCCATCTCCCCCTCGAGCTCCCTGCCTTAGAACATCCAGGTCTCAGGAACCTTAGTGTGGCCCACCCATTCCAAGAGGGTACGGTGGGGGGGTCAGAGCTCGGGATGCAGCCACACAGGGTGGGTGTGGGGCTGAGGAACTGGAGAGGGGCGTGTGCCCGAGTCAGGACGATGTCCTGTGGGGTCTGCTCCGTCTGGAGAAACTGCCAATGACCTGAGAATCCGAACAAACCGAAACACAGTTAACATGAATTTTTGGTGTAGACCGTCATCAAGTGTTCTCTCATCATTAGCCAGTAGCTGATTTCTATTATTTAACAAGGGGCTCTGATTATGTGATTTAGAATATGATCAGTTTTAAAAACTGTGGTTTTGAAAGGTCATAGAGAATAGTCAGTTTATGCTTCATTATTACGTAATCAGATATCAACATACACATTTTTAAAAGGAGAGCATGAGGTCTGATTATATGGCATTTCACTGTTATTTTCAGAAAAGTTGAGTTTTTCAACGTCACATGCTATTTTGCGTCTAATCATGTTTTTGTTTCTAAGTGTGCTATGAAAGCGCGGGTAGCACGATTAGATTGTGTATTGCTTATAGCTCCACGAAGACAGCCATTACTGCCGTGTATATTTTGAACCTTGATGCTGGTAACATGTGTTTCTTCCCAATGTGAAAGGGTGTTACAAGTGGTATCAGCAAATCCCTTTGCTTTTGAACTCAGAGGTATTTATATGGCCCTTTATGTGAAGAGTGCTTTGGAAATGGTTTCAGCCCAGTCAACTCTCTTTTATCTGTCAGCGGGGTCTGAGTCTTCTTACCCCAGCAGCCCAGTCCTTCTCTGGATGCTGCCACTGAGCTTGGAGAATGTCAAGGCTGGGTGTGCAATGGGGGGGAGTGTGTATATGTGTGTGTGCTTTTCTCTCTTCAATCAAATTTCAAAGCCAAATAGAATTTATATTTGGGGGACTCACCATGGAAAAAGTGCCCATGCCTTTTCTCTTCTCCAACACAAATAAAAGAGAGTTGAGTGTAACTTACTTCTGTACCAGCAGTTCCAAGACTTCTAGTATCCAGAGGCTGGGGTTTGCCTCGCTTTATCCTCAGTGAGTGACAAGGTGACTTTCTACCTCGAGAGGCCATTCTCTGAGTGATTACTGCTATGCATCCCAAACGGCAATATTCCAGAGTTTCTGAATCTAAGCGCTGTTCTTTCTTCTCTCCCTGCCTGATCAGCTGGACGGCCAACCGCCATGTGATGTAAGCCTCCATACGAAAGCACTGTTGCAGATAGAAGAAGAGTTGGTTGCTGCTGATGTAGATCTATAAATATATGTTGTATGTCTTTCTCTCTCTCTTTTTTTTTAAAGAATAACACTTTTTTTTTTGGCCTCTGTAGATTACATCAGAGCAGTATAGACTTGGTAGAACCTGTATTTTTGTTGTTGTTTATTTATAAGGAGGTAATTATGTGTGGGGAAAAGTGCAGTATTTACTTTCTGAGTTCAGCATCCTAACAGCACAAGGGTAAAAAGAACTTCAAAATATTTTTTGAGGCTGATAATGATCAATGGTGTTTTGAAGAGGGTTATTTTATTGTTTTTTTTTAAAGGTTCTAAAACATTATTTGAAATAGTTAATATAAATATATAATTTCATTTGCTGTTTATTGTAATGTATGCTAAATTAATACAGAACCATATGGAAAATGTCACTAAAATGCACCCCCAAATTTGCTTTCTGTATCCTTCTTTTCAGCTATATATTATGATTTGGAAACAATTAGCTTATATGAAATGCTATTTGCTTGATGAGGGGAGCTCTGTTTTCTTTAGAATGGTCACTAGCCAGTTTTCAATAGAAAGCTGCTGCTTTTCATTAATGAAAAATCAATATAGTTTGTATACCAAAAATTTTCTCCAGGAAGTAGTGAGCCTTTCTGTCCAACTGTATTTGTAAATAAAATTGCTGATGCATTTAAGGAGTGGTTCTTTTTTTATTTATTTTTCTTGTGTGTGTGTGTTTTTTGTGTGTCTACCTTCCAAGTACTTTAGTCATATTTCAGTATGTGACTTTTTGTGATATTATGTTTTATTTACCATCTTCACTGAGGTATAAATTGACATCATAAATTGCATATATAAACTGTACAATATGACAAGTTTGGGCATAAATGTATACCTCTGAAACTATCACCACACTCTTGATATTGTTTTTATAGAAAAATTTTAACAAGGAACTTTATTTTTGATGGGAAGCTGTTTTTGAATGCAGTACATTTTTATGGTAAGAGGTGAAGTGAATGGTGAATTGTTGGATCATTTGCATAAAATCTTTATTCTTTTGCTTCCTCAGTGATAAAATGAGCCCAGCTGGCATGGCTCAGTGGTTGAGCATTGACCTATGAGCCAGGATGTCAGGGTTCAGTTGTGGGCTCAATCCCCTGTAGAGGGCGTGCAGGAGGCGGTCAATCAATGATTCTCTCTCCTCATTGATGTTCTCTCTCTCTCTCTCTCTCTCAAAAAATATATAACAATGAGTTTAGAAAATGTGTACAGTAAAAATACTGATATCTCTAATGTTTTGCAATCTGGAGTGGGAATTAAAGAATAAAACACTGAAGCATGCTTTGAGAAAAATATAAACTTGCTTGATTCTATTATAATAATGAGAGTGGAGTGGATGGATAATTTCAGGATATGAGAACTGTATTGGAATAGGTTAGAACTATAGTAGATGATATGAGATCATGACTCGAAACCATGATGGGACCTGAACAGAAGTGAAAGAGTAACTCTGGAACTTCAAGCTTAGGTAGTTTAGAGACTGATATTGTTGAGGAAGGAGATGAGCTCTGTTCTGGATATATTGCAGGGTTGACATATAAGAAGTGCCTAACAGTAACTGGAGAGAAGGGTTTGAGTATACGCAGGAGAAAGAAATGGCATCTATTAATGTTTGTTTGCATGCTTGAATTGACTTCAATGAAAAGTTTATTTCCCCACCTGAGAGGAAGTCAAGAAGGTCGGTTCATCTAGCAGTTCAATAATGTGATTGAAGACCTGTGTCATTTATCTCAGGCAGTTTGGCCACCTACAGCTGTGGCCTGATCCAAAGGCTAGTCACTACCCTGGTTGCAAGACTGATTTCTCATGGCTCTTACATGTGTAAGGGAACTTTCCCAGAAGCCATTAGCAAAACCCTTCTTTTCACATTCGCCAAACTTGGGTGATTTTCCCATTTTTGAACCAAGGGTAATCTCATCTCTTGGCAATCAAAACCTCCTTAATGGAAATAAACTTCCAAATAGTGCTATTGATAATTAATGGGAGTCTGATGGAGTCAGGGTTGGAGAGTCAACCACAATGCTTATCATAGTTAGCCTTAATGAATTCTCAAACATTATTTGCACTCTTCTAGACCCAGTGCTTTCATAATTAAAACTTTGTAAGTTAGTGGGTTTCTTAAGGAACAATATAGAAAGAACAGGAGAGTGGACAAGAATATTTCCTTTGATTGTACCCAACAGGGATTACCTGAGGGAAAAAAGTTGATAGAAAATTTGATCTGTTCAAGCAAATGTAAAAGAAAGCTCAGCTCATGGTGGTGCTGAAGTAAAAAAACAAATCAGGAACCTGAATAATTTGAGAATACCCGTGAACACTTTGTGAATGTAAAGTATGAAAAATAGTCTCATGCTTTTTCAAGTTTCTTACATAAAAATTCATGAAAGGAAATCATGTGTTAAATACTCACCTTTTAATAATTAAATTTTAAACTTAAGATGATGGAGTTTATACACTGTAATCCCAAGACACCTTTGAACACAGTTAAGGGGACTCAGTAGCTCTCTTGATGATTTCTGCTTGACAACTGTTAATGCTTACACTATAAATATCCTCAAAGCGCTTCATGGATAGTATTTTTCAATTTTATAACACAATCCTGTGGGAGCTTATCAAAACTCCTTGCTCTTAAAATTAGACTGGAGGAAAAACAGCATTTCCATAGGGGAGGACTATTAGAATCTGAAAAATGGTGCAGCCGTGTTTTCTAGGTTACATTCAGACTTGTAACTTACATATTTTCGCATGCTACTTGCTGTTACCTTTCTTTTTTTGTAGCTAAATGCTTTATAAGATCTATAATGAATTCACTGTCACAGACCTGCATGTGAGGCATTGATCTGTCTGTTGCCATTTCAGGCTAAATAGAGAGTTCCTCTTAACATTTGTCAGAAGCTCATTCTCCCTTTCAACCTGTTCTCTGGCAGCAGGAAAACATCCATCAAAGATGCCAGAACGCCCGGGTCAAGCTTGCAAGTCATGTGCTCTTAAATTTATTTCTACCTCCAAATCAGACTAGCTTCCCAGAATCCCTTAGTCATACATTCAAGTTCAGAAGTATAATGAGGCCTGGGATGGCCATGATGCCTCCATTCTGAATATGTTTAAATTCTAGTCTCAGGAATATAGCTCATAGCTGAACAGGAGGCCAGATGAAAGTGGATGGGAGAGAGAAGGTAGGAAACAAGTGTTTATTGGGTACTGGCTGTGTGCCAGGTTTATTAGGGACACATTAACAAGCGTGGTTTGTTCATACTATGAAGTTCAACTATGAAAATTAACATTTTTATAGTTGAAATAAAATACAAACAGTCAAATCAGGATTTTCCCTAGCCCCTCTTCTTCCCTGAAGTTGGCATCTGACCTTTGGCCTTTGTTTACACAGTGACGGAGTCATGGCCCTGTCGGGGGTCTGGGGAGCGCTTGTTCTCCCTAGTTTCTCCCTGGTTCACTGGAGCATCTATTGTCTGGTCTTTGTACTCCTTAGCCCTTTGTGATGGCATCCACTGGGGTGTCCTCCTTCCAGCTGGTCAGCGCCTGGGAGATCTATGCAGCACAGCCTGTCCAGTGTTCAGCTTCGGCATCCATCCCTACATCTCAAACCTGGCACTCCTTCAGGTCATCAGGCCTGCTCTGTCAGCCAAAGGTCATCTCTGTCCCTGGGTCCTTTATCACATCTGCAAAGCCCCCTTTTCAGATAAGGTAACATATTTATAGTTCCAGGGATTAGGATGGGGACATTATTCAGCACAAGACAGTTACTTTGATATTTACCTTCTAAAAACGGAAATTAATAGCCTGCCCTCATGCCTCTGTTTACTTAGAGAAAGTACACTAGGCCCTGGCCAGTTTGGCTTACTGGTTAGAGCATAGGCCTATGGACTAAAGGGTCTCGAATTTGATTCTGGACAAGGGCACGTACCTCGATGGCAACCTCGGTTCCCAGCCCCAGTCGGGAGCATGTGAGAGGCAACCAATCCATGTGTTTCTCTCAGATCAATGTTTCTCTCTCTGTTTCTCCCCCTCCCTTCCAATCTCTTTTAAAAAAATCAATGGAAAAAGTATCATCCAGAGAGGAATAAATAACTAACTAAGTAAATAAATAAATAAAGGAAGTACACTAGGATACTTCTGATTAAAAATATTAAAGTACTTAAATTGCACTCATCACTAAAAGAATGGCATTTATAGTATCAAGCCTACTTGATTTTCAATGAGATAGTGGTTGCTCCAATGACCTCTACATTGACCTCTACATTGCCTGTTCTGCCAGTGTGTAACTCATTTCTTAAATGAGGTGCATGTAGGAAGAACATATTAGAACATATATTTATGTTTTTATGTTTGAAAAAAAATTAAGCTATTCTAATATATCATGGAAGGGTTGACACAAACATGCCTGTCTTTATGGTTAAGTTAGTCACATGTAGCACAGACACCGTGAGACCTCCTGAGGGCTGAAGAGTTTCACACTATGGAGGGTGACAGTGGTGCCCTCGTTTTGCATGTTGTGATGTAAAACAATTTACTTGTGGCATCACCTTGCAAGTCAGATTTAAAAACGAAGTGTGAAGAGCATGAAGAACCTCTACAATTTTTTCCAGTGATGTTTAAAGTCAAGTAAGGATTAACCCATCCTTTACATACTACATACAATGGTAAATATTTATAAGCATCTTTTGTAGATGGTAGAAAGGCAAATACCCTTGTTCTTCCTATTGAGGTTGAAAATGGTTGAAATAATATACTGAAAATAACATGGAAACTGATACAAGTGTATTCCTTTATCAGCAAATATTCCTGGAAGCGGCACAAGAAACATCACTGAAGTGAAGAAGAAATAAGTATGAGAACAAGTAATACAGTGTGGGAGGTTGGCTACTTAGTCTAGGTATCTCCATCACATCTCAGCTTATTGTATTTGCTAAGTGGTTTTAGTGATGAAATACAAGAACTATTTCTTTATGAACCATCAAATAGAACAGAAAATTACTTTTACTAAAAATAGTAACTTATGGTTAAACTATGTATGTTTACCCACTGATGGAACAGCTATTCTATATAACTAGAGGCCTGGTGCATGAAATTCATGCACTGGGGTGGGGGTTCCCTCAGCCCAGCCTGCCCCCTCTCAGAGTCCGGGAGCCCTCAGGGGATGTCCTACTGACGGCTTATGGGGAGCCGGCCTAAGCCACAGTCTGGCCTCCCTCTGCAGGAGGTGACTGGGCTGATCAGGGGAAGGCGCCACCCCCATCGTCCCGCTGCTGCTGCCACTGCCCGCCGCCACAGCTGCCAAGGTGTTTTCATCAACATGGACTCCAGTCCCTTCACCACGAACCCTTCACCACGAAAAAATGACAACTTTCTTTAGGCATTTTCATGATGTGTCTTTCATAGGATATGACTTTTTTTTTTTTATCCTCACCTGAGGATATTTTTCCATTGATTTTTAGAGAGTGTGGAAGAGAGAGGGAAAGACAGAGAGAAACATATGTGAGAGGGACACTTCGATTGATTGCCTCCTGCATGAGCCCTGACCTGGGCCCCGGCCAGGAAGGAGCCTGCAACCTAGGTACATGCCCTTGATCAGAATCAAACCCGGACCCTGCGGTCAGCAGGCCGAGGCTCTATCCAC